CCAGCAAGCCGATCAGGAGTCACATGAGAAACTTTGTGATACGAGATGGAAAAAAATGTTACTGCTGCACCATGCTCGATTGCAGATTTCATGTTGACGCTCCAGGAGGGGCCCGACCAATGCCACGGTGAATTAGGCTGTAGTTTGGGGGTTAAAAGTCTCTTAGGTGATCGCCCAGGCGGGCACAAGATAATCGCTTGCGCGTAAGCCGCATCATTGATAATGAGATAAGGCCCTCGCGGGCTATGCCTGACGGCAACCGAGACTCAACCTTGGCAGGGCCTGTGATTCACGTACGGCCGGGAGGTAGTCTGACTGCGAGGTGCCAGTTAGGGCGCTTGCCGCCTAAATGGGTGGGTGGATACGGGCCAAGCGGCCCTGGGCGAGTTTAGGGCTCAGGGACGTAACGGACATAACGGAGAGTAACGGGCACGGAGAGTGGCCCCCTTGCTTGGCACCACTGGCTAGTGTACCTCCCGTGAGAGATGGCGTGGCCAGACATCCTGTCCCGTCTGTGGTTTCGAATCGCCAGAACACGCCCGTTCGAGGAGGCAGGAAATCTCGTCACCGTAATTGTACGACATGCGCGACTCTAAGTCAGAACATGCAGTTGCATCGCCGCCGCCAGCGTTCGCGCGGGGCAGAATTCCACTCCTTGGTGCGAGCCTGACGCACAGGATGCATTTTTCAGGATCCCAGCGACCGTCGCGTTACCCGAATGGTATTCCTTGAGATTCTGAGCCACAGGACACGCCCATCTCGCGGCCCCGCGGCCCGTCGCGCTGCTAAAGTTCCATTATTGGGGTCACGATGCTTTTGTCACAGGATGCATCCATCTCGCAGCCTGCGGTCTTGGTGTGCCCTAGTGTCAACTCCGAGTTGCGATTCTGTGCAGCAGCCATATCTATATGTAAAGAAAAGCAAAAAGTACAACAACAAAAACAAAACATGGTGGCCTTGTTGTTGCTAGATTGCCTTGCCCGCCAGCTAATCAAATCAGCCTCGCCACTCCGGCCAGGCCGACTCAGAGAGCTCAGCCGACCCAGATGGCCCAATCATCCCAGCCACCTTGGTCAGGTCAACGTGCCCAGCCAAACGGGCAGCCATATCCTCGGGACTGGCACATGCGAAATATGTTTTACCGAGGGCCCTGAAAATCATCACATGTGACACCGCTGTTCTCAGATCGTGAAGGGCTATGGCAAGCAGTCCATCGCTTTCTCAGCAGGTAGACGGCTGCATCATTCGGCAATTGATCCCCATGGCACGGAGAGTTGCTTCTGACAAGTAGCATGTGGAGTTTGGGGCCTCACAGGAACCTGCTAAAGAGCTCCTTAAGGCAGAGCTGTAGATACGCTTATTGTGAGCCTGCTGGAGGTTTTCGAGTCATGGAGGGACTCCGGTCGTCTGGGGAGTTTTGTGCCGTTCGTGGAGGGTCCCAGGGCAGTCTTGTTGGTTTCTTGGCTTGGGCGGGTCGCCGTATTGAGCTGTCTTGGGGTATTGGGCCATTTTGCTGGCATTTTGGAAGGTCCTTTTGCTGTCTTGGCGCTGCTTGGGGCTTCTTGGGGGGGGGGGGGGGGCGCTTGGTCGGAGTATTGAAAGCATTTTGCGGCCTACTGGAGCCCAAAAACGTGTCAGACAGAAAACTGATTCAACTCAAAGAACAATGTGCGTGTGTGTGCGTGTCACCGCTTGTTGTTTCTCACCAGAGGGTCTCTTGGAGGTTCCCCCTGGGCTTTGGGGCGTTATTGGGTGACTGGTTGGGATTTCTTGGGGTGGTCCAGCAGCCATGTTGGGCCATCCTGCCGACACTGGAGGCCTTCCTGGGCCATGCCTGAAGGAGGAGGAGGAGGAGGAGGAGGAGGAGGGGGAGGAGCCACTGGGCATCCGAGGCGTTGGCGCCCGCTTCGGCGGTGGCCCAGGGAGCCTCGCGAGAGGGGGGGCATGCAGGTTTTTTGTGCGCCCCAGCGCTGGAGGGGGGCAGGCAGAGAACTGCAGAGACTCAGCCAGGCAGCGATGGAATTCTACAGCCTTGGCATTTTACAACCCTGCCAGGAGGCACGGGTGGCAGATGGAATCGTACTCGGGTTCTTTGTGGGGTCGCTCGCCCAAGCGGGGCTGATCTCTCCGCGGGCGCCACGGCCTCCGCGCAGCGCCGCCGCGGCGCAGCGATTGCTCGCAGATCGGAAGCTCGCACCTTCACTACGACCTCCTACTCTCTCTCTCTCTCTCTCTCTCTCTCTCTCATACCTATATATGACTATATATGTTTTGTTCTTCACTTGTTCAAAGCATTGGGGGAATGACAGCTCTAGCTCTATATCCAGCTACAGGTTGAATCCTATGCATTCTCATATTTCCAGAAACTTTAGCAGCAACATGGTGCTCTTGATCGAGTTTACTCTGTATCTTCCACCAGAAGACGAGGCAGGAGGAGAAGGAGAAGGAGGATGAGTGAGATGGCAATGAGTCTGCCAAGGTGGTCGGCAAGAAGCAGTGAATCGTGGCCAGCTCTGACGCAGACACCAGCTGCCCTCCAGCATCAATGGAGGGCCACGCCGCTGGCTGATTACACTTTTAAGTAGTCTTGATGCATCGTGTTGCGACCCGAGTGATTTTTCAACTGGGATGTTCCTCGTCCTGTGTGTTAGTCCTGTCCCCCTTTTGGCAAGCGATATCCAGAGGATGCGAAAGAGACCCCACCCCCCCGTCGACAGATTCACCAGAGCTCAGGCCTCGAACAGCAGCTTGCTATCAGCGCTATGCGTCAGGAAGAAAAAAAGCGCTCCTCGGCCGACGGATGCACTGCCCTCTTTCATACTGACCTGAGGAGGGAAAGCCACGAACCCCAAGCGGCCCCAAGTAGGACTATCCTGGCTCCTGGAGCGCAAATTGCATAACCGATTACAACAAGAAAAAGGTAAACATCACATTGACGGCATGTTGCATATTTGATGAAGTGGCAAGCAGGCTAACAAGCGAATACATTATCACAGATCACGGCGTTGCATTGCGTTGCTTGTGAGTTGGATTGAAATGGTTTTCCTTTTCTTTGCAAATGCATTGTATTGGACTTGTCTGGTCATGTTGCGGAGCTTGCGATGTGGTGATGTGTTGTGATGTGTGTAGTGTTGCTGCACTTGTTCTCCGCAAGGCGAGCGCAATGCAAAGCAGCAAGCGCAAATACACGCAATAGAAAGCAACGCAAGGCAGTTCATTAAACGCAACTTCAACCTAAGCAACGCAATGAAAGGCAAAGCCATGCAAAGCGATACAACACAACGCCATTCAACGCAGTTCAGAACAGTGAGATGCAAAGTAGCAATACAACAGCCAAAATAGCACTAGTGGAATGTAATGCAGCGCGCAGAGATGCGCAGCAACACGTTGCAACGCAGCGCCGTGTAAAGCAATGCGGTACAATGCAGTGGACAGCAGTACACGGCAAGTCAAGTCCGAAGCAACGCAAAGTTTTGCAAAATAGCGCACGCGAACAATAAACAGCAGTGCCATGAAAAGTGGCGCATCGCATTGGAATGCAAAGGGATGCATTGGAAAGCAGATGCAATGTAATAAAAAGCAACGCAGTGCAATACAATGCGAATCAAGGCAAGGTAAAGCAGAACTGGAGAAGTGGGGCTGGCTCCCCGGGGACCTGGGAGCAGTCCAACATTGCAGCCAGAAGAGGCCACACGCCTTCAGCTCCCCCCGATAGGCGGAGAACCGGGAGCTGGGCGCCAGGTTTGCATGGCCATTGCGCCTTCCACATAGAGGACGTAGCGGGTTTTGTTCGACTACACGTAAGAGTGACCTTTCGCCGGAGTGACCTTTGGTGGTGCGGGCCCACAGGGGTCCTCGCAGTACCCAGCCTGGGCTCCTGGATTTGGCCTATCCGCAGCCCCCCAAGCCAAAGATCGTTCTTGCCTACGGTCACTCTTTCGTGCAGTCGACGGAGCACACAAATTCTACACCAGGAGAAGGAAAAAACAAAAATAACAACAAAAACAACAACAACAACAGCAACAACAACAACAACAAAAAAAAAACAAAAAAAACGCAAGGACCCCACCAAGCCAAGGTGCTTGGGCTGCTCTTGCTGCCCACGGGGCGAGGCGCCGCCGCCGCGCAGCCGTCGCCCTGGCCGACCGCCTCCCGTGCCACGCTGCCGTGCCGTGGCGGGCAGGAAGGCGCGCGGCACGTTTCAACCAACGGTGGGGGGCGTGAGCACGTTTCAGCCAGCAGTGGGGGGCGTGAGCAGGGCAGGAGAGAGCACGTTTCGACCAGCAGTGGCACGTTTCAACCAGCAGTGGGGGGCGTGGCACGTTTCAACCAGCAGTGGGAGGCGCGCGGCACGTTTCAACCAGCAGTGGGGGGCGTGAGCAGGGCAGGAGAGAGCGTGAGCTGAACAGTTTGGACAACGGGGAGGGGAGAGGAGCGGGGAGGGAGGAGGGTGGAGGAGGAGGAGGAGGATTTGGAAGCGGCATTTGCAGCCCTCTGGCTCGAAAGGATGAGCCACTGTCGTCGTAGATCGTGATTAACCAAAGTCCGTGCTACGACTCCGCAGAGTCGGTGTGGAAAGAGTGTTCCTGTCGCTTGCAGTCAGCACTTCAGGAATTAGAAGAACCGTTGCAGTCCGGCACTCATAAGAAGGTTCCTGCGCAATCCTTCTGGTAGCGGAGCTGGGCTCTGGAATCCACGACCGATGGACGACCTAGCATTGAACCAGGTGCCCCGTCGCATCAGGGCCAGCCCGACGGCACAGGGGGTTGAGGCGAGCTAGAGCGGTACCAGTTCTGCAGCCGGAGTTGCCGCACTGGTCGGACCTGGAGCCACAGCTGCGCGACTCCATCGCTGAGCGCCAACCGTGTGTGCTGTCTCGCGGACGCTAGTTCTTTCGACGCTGTCCCGCATTACCCCTCCTTGCCTCCAGACGTGGTCGAGGGTGAAGGGATGGGGGGGAAATCCATTAAAATTTAAAGGTGAGGCCATCCCACATGTCGCAGCGAGGATCACGACAAGAGGATAGAGTGGTCGAGGGAGGGATAAAAGAGAGGAAGGGGGAGGTTCGCAAAGGCATACAGAGTTATATATGGTGTGCTCGGTGGTGGGCGGACTGGCTCGGGTTGGTGCGCTGAGCTGGGCGTCGTCAGCCCGTAGCCGCGAAGTGGTCTCCAGGATTTTCTTGACGGACGTGCTCAACGTGTTCTTGGGATATCTCAGTGGTCCAGAAGGCTCTGTCTCGCAGAGCTCGGTCCCCGCGGTGATGACAGGCACATTTCTTCTCTCGAGATGTTCGGCCCCCCGGCCGATACTTGCAAAAGGGCAACACCTCGCAGCTCCCATGGACAGTTGGAAAAATTTGGTCGGAAGTCCAGTTGGGCGTCGGGCTACCGCAGCGCTCGCGCAGCGGCGAGGCGGGCGGGGCCACCGCTGGCGCCAGCCCCACGACCTTGAACGCTGGCGGCGTGGCCAGTGCCCCTGACCGGGCCGTCGGCTGGCGTCGTCTGGGGCCGCCACCTCGGCCTCGAACAGTTCGCAGCCCGCAGAGAGGTCCCGGTCATTCTGTTGCGCGTCGGGCCGGGCGTCGCCGTGGGGCGGGCGCTTGCAGGATGCGCCACGCTGGCGTCGGACAGGCAGTCGGGTCGGCGGTAGGGCTGGGCGTCGGATTGGGCGTCAGCTTGGGCGTCGGTTGGGCTATCAGGCTGGCCGTCTAGCTGGGCGTCCGACTGGCAATTGGGCACGGCGTCAGGTTGAGCGGTGGACTGAGCGTCACGCGGTGCGTAGGGCTGAGCGGCAGCTTCGGAGTCGGCCTGTGAGTCGGCCTGTGTGTCGGCTAAATTGCAGGGTAAGGCTCTGGGTATGATATTGATATGCTTCTCGGGTGGGGCGTCGGGTAAGGCATCGGGGAAGGCGTCGGCGTGGGCGCCTGGGAGTGTGTCAGCTACGACGTCGGTACTGGCCTCGGCCTGGGCGTCGTTCTCCTCTTTTTTTTTTCGTCCAGCAAGCGTCGGGTAGGTCGTTGAACTGCGGGCCAGGTTGGGCGTCGAGCTGCGAATCGAACGGGGAGTTGCATTGGACTCGACTTCCTACGCGTGTGTTTCTGGAAAGGTGTGGATAGCGCGCCTGGAAGGGCGTCGGAGAGCGAATGTGTTTCAGATGTCACGCCCTTCCGCGGGCTGGGCGTCGGCCTTAGCGTCAGGCCCAAGTCAGGCTGGTAATCTAGCTGGGCGTCGGGAAAGCGTCATGTCGGGCAGCAGTTTGAGGGTCGGTCTGGACGCCAGGCGGGGCCTCGGGCTGGGCATCGGGCAGCCACCAGCGAGGTCGATGTCGGCGTGTTCGCGCTTGGGCGCCAGGCCCGCTCTGGCTCGCGGCTGCTCCGTTGCGCCAGACCTCCGTCCAGAGCTCGGCTGCGGGCGCGAGGCCAGCACCACTGCGCGGGGGCGCCGACCGCACGGCGCGCGCCGATGAGCGCCGCCAGCCCCGGAGGCGGGCAGGCCGTGGCCGCAGCCTCCGCAGAGGGTGCGGCCTCCGCCAGGCGCTCGGCCCTCGTGCGGAGCCTTCCGCCCGAGAGTCGGGCTGGGCCCCCCGGCAGGGCGTCGGCTGGCTGAATTTGTCGGGCTGGCCTTCGAGTGGCGCGACGTGCGTGGCAGACTGCAGCCCAGAGCCCTGCCTGCGCGGCGCTGGCCGGGGGAGGAGGCCGCAGCGACCCGCGGTGGCACGCGAGCATCGTGCGCCCAGAGCCCGGGCGTTCGATCGATGCGTGCACGGCTGCACTGCCGATGCAGCAGCTCGGCATCCTGGTAATGCCTTGGTGTCTGGAGCGGGTGGGCGGCGGCAGCGACTTGCTTCGCGGGTTTGGCACAGCTCCCCCGTCATCAATCTCGTGCGGTCACGGCGTAGCTCCATGGAGCGCGCTTGAACCTGCACCCGCACGGCAAGGTCGGCCCGTGCGGCGACGAAGACCTGGCCGCAGTGGAGGCGCGGAAGCAGAAAGCCTCGCTGAGCGGCTGGCTCCCGTCACGCTGGAAGTTTCGTCAGAAAATGACCACATACCATTCACGGAAAAGGCTTCGCGACGCAATTCAAGGTTGAACGCGAAGCGGAACCAGCTCCTGGATGGCCTTGAGCCCAAATGGATGCGGAGAGGGGAAAGTGGGGAGGAGGAGAAGAATGGTGTTTCCTATTGGTGTGAGTGTTCAAGGGTCATACCTGAGACCTGGAAGTTTCGAATAAGACTGCAGCAAGCTTTGAGTGGCGGCCATTATTGTAGATGCCTCTGGCCTGTGCCGCCGATCTGGGAAGCTCCAGGACGCTCCGTGCGAATTCGTCTTGCTCAATAGTTTGTGAGTTCGACCTCGAGGAGGCAAGAGGGAAGATGGGGAGGGAGGAGGACGAGGGAAAGAAGGAGGAGGAGGAGGAGAAACAGGGTGTTGCAGTCGCCTTAGGCACTCTGTGTTGGATGGAATGTTTGCCTCGTGTCCGTCTCTGTCGAGCTTGTTG